CATAGCTTCCATGGATTCAACTTTTGTGCTAATGCAAAACTCCGTTATCTCCGGGAAACACGTAGAAATCAAACGTCGAATGAATGCGTTGTGGCACCAGACGCGTGTGTCGTCGGAACGTCATATAAACGCTGTGTGAATATTTAAGTTAAGGGTTTTTAGAAAAGACGTCTTCTGGCACCGACTTGTCCATTAAAGTCAAGCTTGCGTTACCATGCGTAGCTTACAGAAGCTTCAACCGTTAGCAGCCTGTAACGGGGTAGCCCGTTACACGATGTTGACAATAAACGGTGTCACTAGGGATATTGTAACGGGGTGAATCGTTACATAACAATTTATAAGAAATTGTTAATAGAATATAACTATAAGAGTTATATTCTCAGAATATTGTCATAAGGACAAATATTCTGTAGCACTTACGAGTAGTTTCTAATTGGTTGATAAAGGCCATTATATCAACCAACGAAGACGCGCCACGACAGACGCACGCAATGAGTGGTGAGCAGATAATTGATTTACACATTTGTATTTAGACATAGTTAGATGAAGATAAATAGTGATTTATTGCAGACAATAACTGTAACGGGGTTGCACGAAATCATGGTACTTTGTACCAGAGGTGTTACACACCTGAGGGTTCGCTTCTGTGAAGGTGATATAGAATATCTTATCGGTTTGTAGGGGCTGACGAGTGTCAGCCATTAGATACGAAAGATCTTTGAGTAGGATTAAGATATTCTATAGGCTTTAACAAAAATAAAATCAGTTCCCATTTTGATCTGAAAGACACGTGGCTTGCGAGCCGTCTTGATCGTTGATCTCTGATCACTAAGAGTTAGCGACACCTCCTTGAGGTAGCTACTCTTGAGCACTAAGTGCTGTCGATTCACTGAATCGTTAGGTCCCCTGGAACAGGGATCTGAAGCTATAAAGCTTGTTGACTCGTAAAGTCGTTAGTTCTTTAGAACTAAGTTGCTCGTAGAGCGTTAAGTCTTCCTCTGACTTAAGGAGCTGTGTAGCTCCGCTACACTTGGTAGCACTTGTAGTCAATCTACGCCTGAGTCTTTAAGACTGATCCTCTGTGAGGATGGAAAACATCACTCCCCTATCTGAGGCCCAAAAGGTCGCGCTTGATAAGCTGACCGCATCTTTGGGTCCAGAGTACGTGGAGTTCCTTGTTTCACAAGGTCCTGAAGTGCTTGATGCACGTGTTGAAAGCTTCATGCAGTATGAAGCGACCCTTTTAGGGCAGGTCCAAGACCAAATAGCGTCGGCTATGCCTACACGCTATGTGTACCAGACGAAGAGGCTAAGCCTCGTCCACTTAGAGTGGACGTAAAAAACTACTCCGGTAAGGAGGGCGAGAACCTCATCCTCTGGATCCGTGAGATCGAGATGGCCATGAGATCAGGCCTGATCACGCTTGACCATCAACAGGTCTCGCTGGCTATCTCGAAGCTCGATGGTAGAGCTAGAGAATGGGCCTTGACGTGTAGCACGTCGGTGGACATAGCGTTTCCCACATGGGAGTCGCTCAAGTTACAATTGGTACAGGTGTTTTCTCCACCTAACCAGGCTTACCGCGTGCGCTCACGCTTTCTTTCTACCCGCCAGGGTAAGAATGAATTATCGGACTATGTCCAAGAGCTGCGAACGCTCATGGCTGCAATGCAGTCTGACCCTTTGCCTGAAGCAGTCCATGTGACTATCTTCATGGAAGGTCTACGTACTGGCATTGCCAGAACCGAAGTTTTTCGGGTTCACCCCTCTACGTTTGAAGAGGCTGTGAGAATTGCTCTTAATGCTGAGCATAACTTCAAGTCGGCCAGACTTGGTTGGAACGGATACAATCCTCGCTCTGTGAGAGCAAACTATTCGGGTACCACTGCCTATAATAGGCCGGAACCGATGGATCTCAGCTATGCTGAAGATGGAGGTGAAGCTGAGCTTCAAGCTGATGAGCAGAAACACGTTGTAAGACGATGCTTTACGTGCGGAAGCACTAAACACTTGCGGCCTGGTTGCCCTTTGCGTAAGCAACGCCAGACTACGAGCCAACACTCGAGCCCGAGTCAGAAGTCTGGCATGGCACGGGGAAATGCCGACACCCAGTAGGCGCGGGGCGCCCTACTGGGGAAGAACTATGTTCTGTTACACCTTTAGAAGGTAAAGGAATGCAGGGCTTAGCCCCAAAGAGTACCATACCTACGGGTATAATGCGTGGATACAAGTCTGGCTTGTTGGTCGCCGAGGCGAAAATTAAGGGCTTCGAGAAGCCTTGGTCGATATTGATCGATTCTGGAGCGTCTTGCAATTATGCTCGACGCCGTTCCCTTGAGGGAAGTCAGCGTTATGCTGAGGCGCTTACAGCGCATGAGGGTGATTCTATCACGGTTCGTTTAGCGACTGGAAGTCGCGTAACGGTGCCTAAAGTTCCATTGAACTTAGGTATAAAGTTTTTAGACTTTGACAGTATTGAGCGCTGTCTTGTCCTAGATTTGGACTCGAGATATGATCTCATCCTAGGTATGGCTTGGCTTGAGCGCCATGAGCCATGGATTGATTGGAGGTCTAAGACCTTAGGCGCTACGCGCAATGTTCCTAGCGAAGCTTTGGAGAGTCATGAACCCACCTTTGCTAGGCAGCAGAAGCGCTATTGGCGCAAGCCTTTGACAGAAGATGTCAATGTGCTGGATATTGGAATGTCTGAGTTATCTAACTCCAATGTTACAAACATAAGTTTCGAGCTTAGCTCGTCTAGTGAAACGGCACGTACTCCGTTGAGTGTTACTCGTTGTGATAACGAGTCACTGCATGCTGAAAGCATGGTTGGCCTAGGGCCGAGTGATCAAGGATGTGATTCCTTTGATGTGTGTATGGTGGCACGTGAAACTACACCGAGTGCGGTCGGCCGTGAGAGCACCGCACTGAATGTCGGTAATGACATTTTTGGCGATACGCCATTTAGTGTGGGCGGCCGTGAAGGCACCACGCTTAACGTCGGTAATGGCGTTGTTGGCGATTCGCCATATAGTGTGGGCGGCCGTGAGGGCACCACACCTAATGTCAATAATGATATTGTTGGCGATACGCCGTATAGTGTGGACGGCCGTGAGGGCACCACGCTTAACGCCGGTAATGGCGTTGTTGGTGATACGCCGTATAGTGTGGGCGGCCGTGAGGGCACCACACCTAATGTCAGTAATGATACTGTTGGCGATACGCCGTATAGTGTGGACGGCCGTGAGGGCACCACACCTAATGTCGGTCAAGACAAAAGCTCTCGTATAGAGCGTACTATGGTTGGTAGTAACCATGGGGACAATATTGTCCCGACCCCTAAGGGGTGTAAGGTCTCGAAGAGACAATCGAGACGCCGAGTAGCAGCTGTAAAGCGCCAGGCGTCCTCACAGTCACATAGTGAGATTAGCAATACACTATATACACTTGTTAATGGAGTGACTGGTCAGGTTAATGGCAATGTGAGCCTCGAAACCCTTCCATCTGTGGACGCTCTGTGTGAGCTAGACGAAATGTCTGATGGCGAGTTTAGCCAGGCCTTGAAGGCAGGAGAGTTATCCGAGTTAGCAATCATTAGACCTGATACTGACTTAAATTCTTCCTCGTTAATGGATGAGTCTGTCCTAGAGGATACAAAGGCGGCAATTAGTGCACGAAGTGGATCTTTGATCCTTAAAGATCCTTTGGATCCGTTCTATCCTTTAGTCAAGGAATTTCAAGATGTGGTGTGTCACAACCCACCTTCTGCCTTACCTCCCGATAGAGGTGTACGTCATGAGATTGACTTGGTTCCTGGAACTAAATACTGTGTAACACGGCAGTGGCCTTTGCCTAAAGAACAGTGCGACGTCATTGACGATTTCTTTCGTGCTAAGCACGCGGCTGGAATGGTTCGTGAGAGTAAATCTCCCCATTCAACACCGACATTTTGTGTCAGAAAGCCAAATGGCAAGTGGCGTATTGTGCATGCTTACAATAAGCTTAATGCAGCCACTATACCGGCGCAGACGCCTATTCCTAGAAAGGATGTTCTTCAGAACAATATGGCGGGATGTACACTGTACAGTGCACTCGACTTAGTCGATGGTTATTACCAACTGCTCATGCGAGCAAGCGATATTCCGCTAACAGCGGTGAGTACTCCGAGCGGTATGCTTTGGGAGTGGCTCGTTATGCCACAAGGGCTATCTAACGCCCCGGCTACATTTAACCGGTTGGTAACGCAACTATTCAGACCTCATCGAGGCTATGCACAAACGTACTTTGATGACATTTTTGTCCATAGTCGTGCAATGAATGGGCGATCAGATGTGGACAATCACATCGATCATTTACGAGCGGTGCTCGGGTGTATGCGGATGAATAAGCTGTATGCGAACGCATCGAAGTGCATCTTTGGTGCAGAAGAGATTCCCTTTCTAGGGTGCTTCATTGGGAAGCGAGGCCTTCGAGCGGATCCCGCTAAGGTAAAAGCCATAGTCGATTGGCCAGTCCCCAAGAACCAAAAGGACTTGCGTAAGTGGCTTGGCCTTGCCAATTACTTACATAAGTACAGTGCAAATTACGCAGATATGGCTCGGCCAATGTCCAATCTCCTTAAAAAGGATGTGGGTTGGTGTTGGGGTAACACCGAACATAATGCTTTTGAAGCAGTTAAGGAGAGTCTCCTTCATGCGTCAATATTGGCTTTGCCCGATTCTGGTCGGCCTTTCAGTGTCGTCTGTGACGCATCTGACTTTGCCATAGGCAGTGCTCTGTTACAAACAGATGTCGACGGACGCGAACGCGTCATCGCATTTGAATCTCGACAGCTGAAAGCTGCTGAAAAGAACTATCCTGTTCATGACAAAGAGCTACTTGCTATGAAGTACGCTCTTGTCAAATTCAGAGTCCATCTGCTTGGCTCGAAGCCATTTGTGATCTATACCGATCATGCGTCATTGCGCACTGCGACACAGTCGCCTCATCTCTCACAGAGAATGGCTCGTTGGCTTTCATTCTTTGCCGAATATAACTTCGAGGTAAAGTACAAGCCAGGTAAGCAAAACGCTTTGGCTGATGCGCTATCGCGTCGACCTGACTATAAGCTTGCTCATGTTACGACCCTGTCGTCGTCAGTCCCTGACTTAATTCGTGCGGCATATGCCAAGGACGATCAGTGTGTAGCTTTGCTACGTGCTCTTGGGAGCGATGAGTTTAAAGACTCGGACATAGAATTGTCGGCACGTTTACGTGCGAGGCTACATCGATATTCCATCGATAATGGCCTGTTGTGCTATCGCACGGATATTGAGGACAACCCTCGTATCGTAGTACCTCATGATGAGGAATTAAAGTATCGGATCCTCTATGAGGCACATGATACTGCTTTAAGTGGTCATCTCGGTCGTGAGAAGACTTATAGCTCGGTGAGCCAGAGTTATTGGTGGCCCAAACTCTATAAGTGGGTGCGCACCTATGTGCGTACGTGCGAAACGTGTCAACGGGTAAAACCCTCGGCACATGCGGCGGCGCCGTTGGCTAGTTTGCCGGTGCCCAGTGGTTGTTGGGAGTCCATGAGCATGGATTTCGTGTTTGGCCTACCGAAAGATTCGGAAGGCAACACTGGTATTGTGGTCTTTGTTGACCGATTGAGCAAGATGGCTCACTTAGCGGCTGTGCCGGATAGCATTGATGCGGAAGGTACAGCAAAGCTGTTTATCGACCGTGTCTTTCGCCAACATGGCTTGCCTGTGGCAATTATCTCTGATAGAGACCCCCGCTTCACTGGGAAGTTTTGGAAGTCTATCTTCAAGGTGCTTGGCACTCGGTTGGACATGTCCACAGCGGATCATATGCAGACCGACGGTCAAACTGAGCGTGTAAACCGCGTCATCAACGACATTTTGCGCAGTGTTTGCGCTGATACGCCTAGGCGTTGGAGCTCAATGCTCCCTATTGTTGAGTTTGCGTTGAATAACGCTGTTCATGCCTCAACAGGCTTTACTCCGTTCTATATAAACGGTCTCACTCACCCTCGCGTTCCGTTAACGCTATCACTACGTGAATCAGGGCTTGGTGGGGGGAGAGGTTGCCGATCGGCTTGCTGATATCAGCCCTGCTACTGTTCAAAAACAGGTAAGCGAGTTTCTCGCAACGCGATTAAATGTCTTAAGACATGTGCGTGACGCAATGGCTGATAGCCAAGATACCCAAAAACAACAAGCTGATGCCAAAGGCAGAAATTGTATTGAACTTTATGAGGTCGGAGACCAAGTACTACTCAATGCTAAAAATCTACCTACAAATGTAGTGTCTGCTGTCTTTAAGACAAAGTTGCGTCCACGCTTTATTGGACCGTTTACGGTCACGGCCAAGAAGGGACTTGCGTATACGCTAAACCTCCCGCGCAAATTGCGCACACATCCAGTGTTCTACGTAGGCTTACTTAAGCCGTACCGGGATCCTTCCCATGTGAACTTGGAGGCGCTTGCGCCGACGACAAGGGCACTGCCCCGGATTGCTGTAGACGAATCAGCAAGTCCAACTGAGCCTCGCTCCGAGTTTGAGCTTGCTCCATCGCCTGAAGGCGGCTTTGCATCGCATCCAGCATGCTCTGGGACTTACCCAAGGCCTCTTGAAGACCCTTCACTTCGAGAACCAATTTCTCGTGGGCCTCCACCGGTACACCGGCCGCCACCGACTTTGCTCGATGAGCATGGGTGTCGTCAATTCCATGTCGAGAGACTACTGAAACGACGTCGTCGTCAGGGCCAATACCAGTATCTGGTAAAGTGGCGTGGGTACCCTGAGTCTGAAAACTCATGGGAATTTGAGGTACCCCTTCGGCAAGACTGCCCATATGCTTTGGAGGCTTTTGAGCATCGTGGCCATGGTCATCTCGAGGCCGAGGCCGTTCACCACCACTAGTGGTGCGGGTTGGCGGGTTGTTGGTCACAGACTGACCAGCACTCGCGGCTACCTTAGTAGCCGAAGCATAGCGCGTGCGCTTGCGCAATTGGCCTCTGGCCTTAAGCTTGGCATAATAATACCGAAGCTTGCGTTCGAGACGCACATCCGCCGCATGGGCACTAGCCCTTAGAGCAAAAATGTTGCTGAGGCGACGCACATAGTGCACCCAGTGAACAAAGGCATCGTCTTCTTCACTCGCTGTTTCGCCTGCGAGCAGGAGAATGGGTATACCCTTCATCGGTGGAACTGGTGCACCACGTGCTTGCATGTCAAGGCGTGCCTTGTATTGACTTTGAGTCGTTAGGTGCGGCTCCAGGTACCTCTCACAAAGTGCCTGGCAGCTCACCACCTCCTCAGGAGTCTTAGGCTCATGGCCAATGACCCACGTTGCCAATGTTTGGCCGGCCGCTTGACGCAGACGTTCCTCCACACTGGGTGGGGTGAACACATAATCACGCTGGCGTTCAAGGGTTGCAGTCATCTGTGCATAACGCTGAGCGTTTTCTTCTCTTTGAACAAGCAGTTGTTGTTGCTCATCGAGCGGGTTCGTGATGATAGTCTCATCAGAACCAGATGCTGCATGCTGCGCTGGCGGCGCGCTCGCACCTCCACGTTCAGCGAACGGATTTGGGGCGTTCGAAAGTTGTGCCTCAGGCATCAGTGAGCCG